GATTTTCCGTCTGTAAAGTAATAACCTTAAACTCCGTGTATGGGTTCCCTGTGTTTAGTTATGATGAAGTAAAATGGCTGTCACATGGATGGTCAAGTGTTGGAATAAAACCATCCAAGATATTCTGGTGTTTATTAACCATCCTAACCATACACCACCTCTCCTTAGTTACCGTTGCCTTGTCCTTCAAACTCAATAATTTAAAACTATGAATGAAATATTGATCATAAATTGTTGTCTCGCATGCATTTTACCAGCCAACCGCTTCATAGGCTAAAAAAAATACATAGACCAACATTGCTAGGGGAAAGGGGGAAAGTGGCACATTATTTTTGAAAAATATTTTAGACCTCACTGTACAAGTCGTTCGCCTCCACCAATACTCCCCTTCACGGTTCCCTGCGCCATCTTGAAAGCTAGCCGTGCCTTTGCATCGAAGCGATACGAACGGTGAGCTTGCAATGATAGAGACCTATGAATAAATGTCCAAGGTCTTTAAAAAAGGTCTCTATCATTTCGTGTTGTCCAACTACCATTACACCATTATAGAATCATGACAAATGCTAATCAAAACAAAATGTTGAATCCTCAATTCTGATTGGTTTACCTTGAATTTGTACTGATATGTATTTAAAAATAATAATTTCAGTCATGACCAGATTCGCTGCCCAAAGTTCTAATTGATTTTGGTGGAGTATTTTGTTTTATAATAGTTTTAATAAGCTATATTGGACATCGAAATACGTCACAACTTAAAAACTCTACACACTTTCTGTACTGCTTGAACTTATGTCATTAATATGACTGATAACCTGGCATCCTTCTGAAGTCACGTGTAACAACTCATCTGCTTTCACTTTTAAGCCGCGTTGTATATCTTCCTCTACGCTTATTTGCTTCACAAGCCGGTTTCTCCATGTCTTTTGTTCTTGAGAACTCGTTAGATTCACGAACGTTCTTATTCTCAATGCTTTTGGTAGGAGGTCAATGGAAACACCATCCAAATTTACGACAATAAGTGAATAGTCCCCACATCGATTTACACGTTCCAGTGCCATGTCCAACTCTGTTTTGCAATAACCACTTTTCAAAAAGTTTTTCGAAACAACTGCAAGGTTTTTTCTGCACTTGTAAACGGAATCAGCCATGTTCTCGTGAATGACTTTACCAGCCTCATAATCCCTAAAGTGTATGAAACACTTGAAATTGTTTTCTGACTCAAGTAATGGGATGAGCTCTTCAGTTACCCATTGTTCATCGAAACTGCTGTACAAGATTGATGCGTCGTACTCAAAGTTTCCTTGATCTGAAAATAATAATATATTGACAAATTCTATCAGTTCAACAATGGATTATCCGATGTGAATGCTTGCTTTGAGTGCACTGTTACTGTGGTTTATGACTAGAATTGGTGAAAATTGTTTAGAATGGAAGCAAATATTACAAAGTCATTTAAAAAGAGGCGACCAGAGCAAATGTCTCGCTTGACAGGGTAATTTTGGGGTATTTTTATGATTTCATTACATCAAGTGCTTGCTTGCTACGTACAATCTTGGACGAAAATGTTGAAATTTTTTTATTTTTAATGAATGTTTTCATGAAAAACATGAAAATTTCCCCTTAAAACTACCCCCTCCCCCCCCTCCCCCCAAACAATGTTGTTGCCATGGAGAGAGCACTGCTTTACCTGATGGGACCAACATTGTCACGGGGGGGAGGGGGTACGATGATGCAACACAATTGTTAAAGGAAAATTGGGCAATTTAACGGATGAAATGAAATTTTCTCAACTCTTTTTGTCCAAGATTGTAGGTTCCCCTATCTTCTATAATCTGCGAACTCGGACATTCAACGGTACTTGTTTCGAAATTAGCCTTTCGCTGCCGCCAGTCAAAAATATAAGATACCAACAGATTATTTTTGATTGACGGCAGCGAAAAACAAAACCCATCGTGTAGCTTGCAACTACCGAGTTAGCAGAATATCGAAGACTGCAGTAATGCTATTGTTAGACCACAGGGAACCCGACTTTCTCTACTAATTGGTTGGTTTGTATCTTTTTAGAAGTTCGTATTGGGTTTCTAAGGGTATGTAAATTTTAGATTTGTGGGATTCCTGTGGTTTGGGATCGGTTGACATCTCTCATTTTATTTCAAATTGTATTGTATTTATATGCTTACTTGTAAACATTTATATGTGTGTAAATAAACAAAGTTCAAGTTAGTAACGCACTCGAGCAAGCTTACTAGAAAGTGCGTTACATCCAAACAACACAGGCAACCCATAAAGAGCAATACCACTACGATAATTAGTTTGAACAAGCCAGATCTGTTTACAACGATCTCAATCCCAGGAAAACCCATAAATAGCTAAATTACTTATTCTTAAACCTATTTAAAACTTCCTCCGTCGCTCAAGCAGTCTGGTTTTTTTTAGTAAGTAAGGTGTGATAATTTAACAGGCTAAGCAACTCGATATTTCTACCAAGAAAATTGTAAAGAGTAAATATTCCGTTGAAAACCAGCTTGATTGGTGTTAGATTAGACATTCGCAGTGTTTTGATATTGTGTTCGCCAATGCAATTGATATAAGAGTGATTTAGCGTCAAGACGCGAAAGTCAAAAGGCGATGGCGCGAGCGCATTTTGTCGTATGTAGTTGGCGTCCTCAACAGAACGCCATTTGAAGCTTGATTGAAAATCATAAGCGTGTGTATTAGCTGGCAGATGATACATCCAAACCCCCTCCCCCCACTCCCCCATCCCCTTACATTGGGAAAATCGTGCGAACTCGAAATAATAGAAATATTACCATACCATGGAATTTAAAAAACCATTGAAATATCGTGGAAGTCAGCATTTCCCTACCATGGAAGTCATGAAAGGGCACGCGTCATTTTTTTCTCATGTCATTTCCATGGTATGAAAATATCATGGAAGTCACTATTTAAAGCATATTTCTATTTCTCGTCTCTGACAAAGGCTATTAAGGACGTACCTGTGTCTCGGGTTACACTTCCTCCACGTAACGACGACGAATTTAATTTGTTTTTTTAAAGTTCGTTTAAAATAGAAAATGGGAATGTATAGAATAAAATACTAAAATTCCAAGTTTAGTAAAAGCTATTGTCAGTCAACTGTGGCAGACAATTTTTTTTAAATCAGGAAAGTAGAGCTCGACTTTTCCAGATGAAGATTGCTTAACTGTCAATGCTAAATATAGATATGAATATACAGTCAATTCAAAAAACGTTGTTGTCGACCGGCTCAAGCCTACGCGACTGGACCGAAAGGAATATGGGTAAAAATCA